GAACTTGATACCTAGGGCACAAAAAACAGTGATGCTCCCCCTTCCTCTAAGCTTGTGCTTATTTTGCTCTAGATTCTTTTCATACACAGCCATGTAAAGGAATGACAACAGGTAAAGTTCAGATACACCCCAGTATCAATCAGAAAAATTAATTATGTCTGTATCTGTCTGAAATAGTTTTGTTTTTTTTTTGTTTTTTACAACATTCCATTTGAGCAATAGTTGCCTTGGCTTAAAAGAGTTTAACAATTCTGCTTTTAAAATCAGAGCCCAATTCAATGTACAGAACTAGCCTCTGGGTCAGGGTTCTACACCCCAATTATAATCTCTCTTATCTTTACCTCACCACCGTACTACTGCCATCGAATGGATTCTGACTCACAGCAACCCCCACTGGGTTTCCAAGATAGTAAATCTTTACAGAAATAGATTGCTTCATCTTCCTTCTGTGGAGCAACTGGTGGGTATGAACTACCAACCTTCTGGTTAGCAGTCAAATACATTACGCACTGTACCACCAAAGCTCCTATCTTTACCTAGTGGTACCCATTTATTAATGTAACGTATAAGTAAATAGTAATGAAGGCAATTAAACAGTAATACCATAGCAAGTCAATTTTCATTCAACAATACTCCTAAGTCCTAAATTTTCTCACCTTCTAACAACAACTGAAACCAAAACCAAACTCATGATCATCAAGTTGATTCTGACTCATAGCAACCCCCTTTGGGTTTCTGAGGTTGTCAATCTTAACGGAAGTAGATTACCCAGTCTTCCTTCAGCAGAGTGGCTGGTGGGTTTGAACCCGCCAACCTACTGGTTAGCAGTCAAATGCTTTAAGGTAAGTAACTGGGTAAAGTTACTATGCCACCAGAGCTCCTTTTTAATAACAACAAAAACAAAGAAACAGAAAAAAAAATAACAGTGAGATTAGAGAAGAAAAAAATAAGGACTCTTCAGAAAAAAACATTGAAAACATGGCCTCAGTTACCCTTCTCTTAAGATTCAAGCATTCTACGTGGGAGAAAGACCTGGTGATCTGCTTCTGTAAGATTACAGCCTAGGAAACTCTCGGGAAATTCTACTCTGTCACATGGGGTCACTATGAGTCAGAAGCAACTCGATGGTACACAACAATAAAAATATGCAAGCAGTGGTCATCAGAGGACTCAAGAAAAGCCACAGATGACCATTTGTTAAACACGGGTCCCAGAGTTGACAAAAATGGAGCACTGAATGAAATTCCAAACAACCCAAAGAGCCAGTTCCTGTTATCCAAGACAAAATTAAGCCAACAAAAGTTCAACCTCATCTGGGTACATGCGTGTCAACAACTCAAATCTGTTACTATTGTGCACATTGTTAGGGAAGCATAATTTTAAAAACAAAACAGAAACCTCTTGCCAAACCAGACAAGCTCTTCACAAAAGTAGAAGGAAAAAAAAATTATTATTGAGTAAGTGTTAAAGCAGAATGTGATGTGCATCATGGCAATCTGCTACAGAAATTGTGAAGGCAGAAAGGAATTATCCTTTTGCACAGCCAAGCAGATACAAACAACCCTTTTCATACATGTTCTCAAGATACATGTGAACTAGTCCTCAAGTAAGAGGACTTGACAACACTGTCTGTAACATGTAAAACTAAAACGAGCTGCCATGGATTCAATTCTGACTGATGGCAACCTCACATATGTCAGAGTAGAATTATGCTCCACAGACTTTTCAATGGATGGTTTTTCAGAAGTAGACCATCAGGCCTTTCTTTGGAGATGTCCCTGGAAGGACCTAAAACTCAGTTTCAGTTAACAGTTTAGACTGCCCACAGACTCTGTATCATATACAGCTCATCCTAAGTTCACCTAGTAATTAGGACAGCACTTGCTTGCTAGTTGCCCTTATCAAAAGCAGAGTAAAATTCTCCTATTTTTATGACTGGAGGCAAGTTTTGAACTTGAAGCCAAGCACCAGCTGAAGGTAGGCTCAGATCCTCCCTGGAAACTAGAGATAGGGATGTCATTGTCCTTCACGACTGCATTTCAGAAATGGCTTTCAGGTCCTTGAAGAAACATCCTAGGTTATAAACCTGGCAAGAAGCTTAGCCTTTTAGAAAATTAAAGAGGCAGAAGAAAAGACTTAAAATTGTAAGTTTTTTCTAAAGTAAATGCTCTAAGGGAAGGGAAGGGGGAAGTCTTTTCCTTCTTTTCAGCAACGTCTTTTAGCCTCTTTCACTTTTTTTTCCTTACCTCTAATTTGTATTTCTTGTTATAGTTTGTCTGTGACTGACCATGAAAGCTGACTATGAAAGCATTGCAAGTATTGATTTTAGTGTCAACAAATAAGATGATGGAGCAGCTCAGTATCATCAGTCAGAAAAAGGCCAGGGGGCGACTGTGGATCAGACCATCAATTGCTGATATGCAAGTTCAAGCTGAAACTGAAGAAAATTAAAACAAGTCCACAAGAGCCAAAATATGACCAAGAGTATATCCCACTTTGAATTTAAAGACCATCTGAATTTGATGCACTGAACACCACTGACTGAAGACCAGAAGAGCTGTGGGATGACATCAAGAACATCATCCATGAAAAAAGCAAAAGGTCATTAAAAAGACAGGAAAGAAAGAAAAGCCCAAAATGGATATCAGAAGAGACTCTGAAACTTGCTCTAGAAAGGAGAGCAGCTAAATTGAATGAAAGCAATGATCAAGTGAAAGATCTGAAAAGAAGATTTCAAATGGCAACCAGAGAGAACAAAGTAAAGTATTATAATGAAATGTACAAAGACCTAAAGATGGAAAATCAAAGAGAAATAATATGCTTGGCATTTCTCAAGCTGAAAGGACTGGGGGGGAAAAAAATTAAGCCTCAAGTTCCAATACTGAAGGAATCTAATGGCAAAATACTGAACAATGCAGGAACATACAACAGAGTCCCTGTACCAAAAAGAATTGGTCAATGTTCAGCCATTTAAGGAGACAGTATATGATCAAGAACTGATTATAGTGAAGGAAGAAGTCCAAACTGCACTGAAGGAACTGGTGAAAAACAAGGCTCCAGGAACTAACAGAATACCCATTGAGATGTTTCAACACATGGATGCAGTGGTGGAGGTGCTCACTTGTTTATGCCAAGAAATTTGGAAGACAGCTACCTGGCCAACCAACTGGAAGAGATCCATATGTGTGCCCATTCCAAAGAAATGATCCAACAGAATGCAGAAATTATTGAACCACGTCATTAATACCACATGCAAGTAAAATTTTGCTGAAGATAATTCAAAAACGGTTGCAATAGTACATCAACAGGGAACTGCCAGAATTCAAGCCAGATTTGGAAGAAGGTGTGGAACGAGGGATATCATTGCTGATGTCAGATGGATCTTGGCTGAAAGCAAAGAATACCAGAAAGATGTTTATTTAAGTATTTGATTGACTATGTAAAGGCATTCAATTGTGTGGATCATAACAAATTATGGATAACATTGTGAAGAATGGGAATTCCAGAACATATATTGTACTCCTGAGGAAACTGTACATAGATCAAAAGGCTGTAATGGAACAGAACAAAGGAATACTGCATGGTTTAAAACAGGAAAGGTGTGCATCAGGGATTATCCTCCATACTTATTCAACCTGTATGCTGAGCATATAATCAGAGAAACCAGATTATATGAAGAACACAGTATCAGGCCTGGAGGAAGACTCATAACAACCTGTCCTATGCAGATGACAAAACCCTGCTTGCTGAAATTAAAGAGGACTTGAAGCATTTACTGATGAAGATCAAAGACTTCAGTGTGGACTAACACTTCAACATAAAGAACACAAAAATCCTCACAACTGGACCAGTAAGTAACATCATGGAAATTAGAGAAAAGTTTCAAATTGTCAGGGATTACATTTTACTTGGATCCACAATAAATGTCCATGGAAGCAGAAGTCAAGAAATCCAGTGACATATTGCATTGGGCAAATATGCTGCAAAAGACCTTTTTAAAGTGTTAAAGAAAATAAAGATGTCACTTTGAGGTCTAAGATGCATCTGACCCAAGCTATGGTATTTCCAGTCACCTCATAGGCATGTAAATGTGGGAAAATGAATAAGGAGGACCAAAGAAGATTTAAGGCATTTTATTGTAGCATAGTGCCTAAGGCACTTGACTGCTAACCAGAAGGCTGGCAGTTCAAACCCACTAGCCACTCCTCGGAAGGAAGACTGGGCAATCTACTTCCGTAGTGATACTGCCTCGGCAACTCAAGGAGGGGTTGCTATGAGTCGGGGCCGACTCAATGGCACATAACAACAACAACAATTACGATGTTGGTGAAGAATACTGCATATACCATGGACTGCCAGAAGAATGAACAGATCTTTCTTGAAAGAAGTACAGCAAAAATGCTCCTTGTAAGAATGGCCAGACTTCATCTGTCGTACTTTGGTCATGTTATTGGGAGGGATCAGTCCCTGGAGAAGGACATCATGCGTGGTAAAGTAGAGGGTCAGCAAAAAGAGCCTGAATGAGATGGACTAATACAGTGGCTATAACAATGAGCTCTGGTAGCATAGTGGCTAAAGCACTTGACTGTTAACCAGAGGGCTGGCGGTTCAAACCCACCAGCCACTCCTCGGAAGGAAGGTTGGGCAATCCTACTTCCGTAGTGATACTGCCTCGGAAACCCAAGGAGGGGTCGCTATGAGTCGGGGCCGACTCGATGGCACATAACAACAACAACAACATAACAATGAGCTTATCCATAGCAATGCCTGTGAGGACGGTGCAGGAGTGGGCAGTGTATCCTTTTGTTGTACACTGACTGGGTCGTTTACTTGCATCAACTCGATGGCACCTAACAACAATTAGTATATCAACTTTCCAAAGGCTTATGATAGTCAACAATTCCTTAAAGTTATGCAAAGAACCCAAGAGAACAGTATGCTATAACAAAGTTAGGAAAAGTTCTCCTTAATAACCTACTTTCCTGTGTATTTCTTATTTTTCATTCCACCTCCTGCTCTTTTTCCATATCTCTACCTTTTCCCCTTTTATCTCTTATCTTCAACTGGAGAAGTATCTATTTTTAGTATTAGTTATACTTAATAATTAAAATGTAAAATTTTCCTCTTTTAAAGTCTCCTACTATTAACTGTGGAGTCATCAATTTGTCTTTTCAATTCTGTTAAAGTCTGATTTATGTATTTTGGGGCTCTTTTATTGGGTGTGTAAATATCTATTATTGTCATGTCCTCTTATTCAATTATCCTTTAATCATTATATAATGTCCTTCTTTGTTTTTTTATGGTAGTTTTTTTTTTTAAATTTTTATTTTTATTGTGATTTGGGTGAAAATTTACAGAGAAAATACACTTTCCATACAGGAGATCACATACACTTTGTCTCATGACATTGACCACAATTTAGCACAATGCAACATCTCCTCTCCCACTTCCTCCCGATAGGTACTGCTTCCCTGTGACCATCCCTCCATGTACTCCTACCCCCTGGGCTATCTCCCTGTGCCTGAGCAGCCCTTCTTTCTCTCTTACTTGTTCTCTCCAAGGAGTGTATCTACCTCAGATACATGCTCAACTAGTATGCCTGTCTACTGCTTGGCTGGAAGCTACAGGTGTGTGTTCAATTCCAGGCCTGAAGGACAGCTAGAGGCCATAGTCTCAGTGGTTCCACCAGGCTCCACCGGGCCAGCAAACCTGTTCACCGCTTTTTTTTTTCCAAATGATTTTGAGTTTTGTTCCACATTGTTTCCCTGACTATCCTCCTACAAAGATCCTCTTCCAAGTGGTTGACAGTAGTTGCTGAGCACCATCTATTTCTTCTGGTCTCATAGTCGTATAGGCTGCAGATCGGATGGTGTACCAGTCGCTAGGACTGATTGTTTCCATGAATTTTTGGTTTTCTTCATTCTTCTTGGCCCTGTACAAGGAGTGACCCATCGTTGCATCAAGGTGGCAGCTTGCAAGCTTTTAAGATATCAGTCGCTACTAGCCACAGTAGAAGGTGGAACAATGATTTGTGTAGTATGTTATGCCAATTGAGCTTGATGTCCTCTGGGACTATGGTCCTGAGCCCACAAGTTCAACTACTCGGTCCCTCAGGGTTACTGTCAGTGGCCAAGCAGTGACTAAAACCTTGCCCCTTGTCAGCCCCATTATACATCTGGGAATTCAGATCATACACAAAGTTATTGGACCACTGTCTGCCAACCCTATACATGTTCTTGGGTGCACTCTCCACTTCATATAAATACCTAATATTTCAGTCTGTCCACCCATATACCCGTGTTTGCCTTCACTGAGCATGTCGTATTATATGTGCAAAAGGGTTCATCTTTGTTGTCTGTACTTCCCACGTAGCTCTCTATGTCTTTCTCTTCCTCAATGCCACTATATTGATCACTCACATTTGGTACATTACCTTTTTCTTCACCCAGGTAGTTTTTGTCTTAAAATCCATTTTCTCAGAAATTAATATGCCACTCCTGCTCTTTTGTAATTGCCATTTGCTTTTTTTTTTGCCCCCAGCCTTTGATTTTTAGTCTATTTTTGTCTTTGTGCCTAATGTGACTCTCTTGTAGGCTGCATATTGATGGGCCATGTTTTCTTATCCAGTCTGTAACTCTGTCTCAGGTGGTACATTTAATCCATTTATATTCAATGTAATTATTGACAAGTATGAACTTATTGCTGTCGTTTGTTATGTGTTTTTCCATAGTGTTGCTGATTTCTTTTTTCCATAGCTCATTTTGTTCATGAATTTTGTTACCATTTCCTTCATTGCTACTGTTTTAGTATTTGCTAAATATTTGTGTTTCTCTTCTTTTTTATCTTGATGTGAAGGTTTATTTATTTTTTTGAGATTGCTCTGTGATTCATTATTTTCTTCCCAAGTTTAGAACAGTCTGTTCCATCTCACAATTGTCTTGACTACTTCTTCATTTGGAAGTTCTAGACCTGCACTATTTATTTCCTCATTTTGGTTTATAGTTGTCCTCATTTACCAACTGATGTCTCTGGCTCTGTTTATAGTCTTGTAAGCTTATTTCACTTTGGATACTTTGATAACTGGATTTGTTTCTGGGTTACATCGTCATGTGTATTAATTATCAATTGCTGTCTGCTTCTGTTGGTTCTCTGTCCAAAGGATTCCCTTGTAATGCTAGTCTGTGTTTAATAAATTCTTTTAATTTCTGTTTATCTGGAAATGTCTTAATTTCACCATCATGGTTGAGGGACAATTTTGCTGGGTATATAATTCTTGGTTGGAAAATTTTTTCTTTCAGGGTTTATATATATCATTCTATTGCCTTCTTGCCTACGTGGTTTCTGCCAAGAAACCAGAGCTTAGTCTTATTAAGCAACTTTTCATTTTCCCATGCTACTTTCAGGATTCTTTGTCTTTGGTTTTGGTAACTTTGATTATGACATGTCTTGGTGATTTTCTTTTGGGTCTTCCCTGTTTGGGATTCACTGAACTTCTTGAATAGCTATCTTCTTGTCTTTCATCATATTAGGGAAATTCTCTTTCAACAAATCTTCAACCATTTTCTCTGTGGTTTAATTTGTCTCTTCCTGTTCTGGTAGTCTGATCACACATAAGTTATTCCTCTTGATAGTATCCCACATTAATCTTAGGCTTTCTTCTGACTGATCCTCTAACAAAGTGGTATTGAGGTATTTGTCTTCAATCTTACTAACTCTTCTGTCTTCCATTAATTTGATTCTGCTTCTTTGCCCCTTCAATGTGTTATTTATTTCTGAAATTTTAATATTAATCTGTATTTCTATTTGTTGTTTTTATATGGTTTCTAATTTTAGTCTGTCAGTTTGTTCTTGTATTGTTTTCCTAAACTGTTCTAGAGTTTTGTCTGTGTTATCCTTAATTTTGTCAGTGTTTTCCTTGATATGTCTCTCAACCTGTTGAAGGTATCTACATATAATTTTTTCGAATTCCTTATCAGGCAGTGCCAATGATGCTTCTTTCTCAGAGACACTGAGTCTGTATTCTGTTCCCTTATTTGTACCACTTTATCTTGCTTCTTTGTGTGCACTGGGATGGTCAGTTGTCCCCGATATTGTGGTGTCATTGTATTTATATTTAATTGGTGATTGTATGTTGATGTGATTAGCCCAAGATATTTTTTTCTTCATTTTGTTTTGATATATCTGTGTGTGCAGGGTACTGTGTTCCTCTATTTGCTAGTTAGCAGCACTTACACTCTCACCACCTGTCTCCTGGTGGGTGTGATAGAAAATGAGATTGTGGGCACAGATCTCTGTTAGCTGTTCATGAAAAGCAGTTAAGGGTGAGTAGGGCTGGTATTGGCCACCATCTACTGTTGTTCAGTTGGTGCAGAAGCAAGTGGTGGCCTTCACCCAGTGAATAGGAGGAGTGGGTATGGATGGGTCATGTGGGTACCATTGCTGTCTCCAACCCAGTTAGACAAATACAAATAAATAAATAAAAACAAGAACAAAAAACAAAGTGTATAATCAAACAGCAACAATCACAAAAAAGACAATAAATGAAAAGAAAAATTAAAAAAAAAAAAGAGAGAAAAGAAAAAAAAAAAACCCACTATATCTAAGGAGAGGTGATTAAAAGAAGAAGAGCAAGAGAAAAATAATAATAAAGAAAAAATGAGAAAAATGCAAAAAGGAAATGGGATGGGAAAACTCAAAAGAAAAATAAGAAAAGAAGGAATAAAGAAGGGAACCAGGAACAGGGGAAAAAACAAACAAAAAAAACAGAACAAAAACCAGGGAAGGGAAAGATAAAAAAATAAAAAGAAAAGAAGAAACAAGGATGGAAAAATAATAATTTAAAAACAAACAAAAACAAAACTGGAGTGAGGACAGGCTCTTTCAAGGCACCCAGACTGGGATGGCATTTCTGCCAATCCAGAAAGTCGGTGGAGGTGGGGGATGGCCACACCTCCATTCACCAAGAGGGTGTGGGGTATAATAATAACAAGAGGAATATCACTTCTTTCTAGTCGTTAGCTTCCAGTGCAGTTGCCAGTGCTGTTCTTGGCAAGCCAGAGCCTATTCTTAGGTTGCTGCCTGGATTGGGACACTGCTTGCAAATATTCAAAATGGCTGCATACTCAGGACAGCTGACAGTCTCCTTATTCACTGTTTTCCTTTCTAGTCATCAGCCACTAGTGCAGTTGTCCATGAAGTCTTGGCAAGCAGAGCTGATCCTTAGATTGCTACCTGGATTGGAATGCCACTTGTAAACATTCCAATTGGTCAAGACAGCCAAGAGTTCACAGCTCCATTTGTCTTTTTATTCACTGTTTTCATTCAGGTTCTTCTATTAGTTAGCATTTAATCCCGGGTTCCAGCATTATCTTCTGTATCTGTTTCAATTGGTTTCTTGTTTCTTTGTTGCAGAAGGTTTGTGTAGTTTATCTGCCCATTCTGCCATCTTGGCAGAAGTCTCCTAAAATGTTCCTTTTTAAAATACTGTTGTTGCTATTCTTAGGTGTTGTTGAGTCAGCTCTGACTCATGCAACTCTATGTACAACAGGATGAAACACTGCCCAGTTGTGCACCATCTTCACAATCCTTGCTATACTTGAGCCTATCATTCCAGCCACTGTGTCAACCTATCTCGTTGAGGGTATTTCCTCTTTTTTTGCTGACCCTCTACTTTACTAAGCATGATATCCGTCTCCAGGCACTGGTCCCTCCTGACAACTTGACCAAAGTAGGTGAGATGAAGTCTAGTCATTCTTGCTTCCAAGGAACATTCTGGTGGCCCTTCTTCCAGGGCAGATTTGTTCATTTTAAATACTAGTAGTTTTTTTCATTAGGAACATATTACATCACAGTTCTATGAATTTTTGGTCTATGTTTTTAAAGTTTAGACAATATTTTGGCATCCTCACATAACAATAGCCTATCATTAAAAAAGATCCCTGGTGGTGCTTGCCTGCTAACTGAAAGATCAGAGGTTGAACCTACCAGTTGCTCTGCAGGAGAAAGGTGTTGTAGTCTGTTTCCACAAAGATTTACAGCCCTGTAAATCTTATGGGGCAGTTTTACTTTGTTCTCCAGGGTCACAAAGAGTCAGAAACCACCTCATGGTAATGAGTTTTCATCACTAAAAAAGGTGTTTTTTCTCTGTTCCTTTCTAACACTAAAATTGTATCTCTATTACTAACCAAAGAGAAACAAAAAGATTTTCATGATATGGCATTTTTCATTTAAATTATATGAATTTTTCCTCTAAGTAATAAAATATTAATTGGACACAAATTATTATACTGTCTAATGCATAAAATACATACCTGAGTTAAACCAGCACCTATTTGCACAGAAGACTTTTTTAATAATCTCACTTCTTTGTTTATGTATTTTAGCATTCCACTAAGAGTATTAAAGTCATTACTCTCAGAATTATCATCTTCTAGGTTATATATGAGAGGATCAAATGAGTCTAACTGGTTATAAGTCAGATCCTTCTGGTTTTCTTGTAATGCTGAAGGCTGTTCTAACTGCATTTTCTTTAAATCTTGTAGTAATTCTTCAGAAAGATCTTCATCAGCATGAGTTCTGAAACTTAGGTCACTGGCACTAATAGAGCGACGTAGTTTTTTACACTTGAAAAAAGATGTGTGAGAATGTTTACCAAACTTTGGATCTTGAATGTCTAGCACAGTTTCTGCTGGGACTGATAGAAACTTCATGCCTTCTGCCCTTTCATGTCCAGAAATTTTAGCTTGTAATCTCGTTAATTCTGACTCCTACAGAAAAATTGGGACACAGTAAGTGCTCAATACATTTTTGTTAAATAATTGAACTATTTATAAATTACACACTTTAGAAGTCATCTAAATCAACCTTCCTCCAAATACAGAAATTCTTTTTACAACATTCTTGAGAGTTTTCCAAGACCTGCTTAATACTCTACTATTTAAGATAGTTGCATTTTGGGAAAATTACATCTATTCATTTCAAATATGTGTAGACTATGCTAAAAAATTCTATAAAAACTTTATTTTTCTTAAAGTACATAAAAAATAGTGTTAATAATGACATCAATTTCTATTCAAGATTGAAATCTTACATCTAAAAATTCTGTAAAAGTACAAATGTACACTCTTATCTTTAATTAATCTAAAATGCACTTCAGAGCTCTAGTAGCATAGTGGTTAAAGCATTTGTGGCTGCTAACCAAAAGGTTAGTAGTTCAAACTCACCAGCAGCATTCCAGGAGAAACATGAGGCAGTCTGCTCCTGTAAAGATTTACAGCCTTGGAAACCTTGGGGAGCATTTCTACTTTATCTTTCAGGGTTGCTATGAGGGGGAATCACCTCAATGGCCAAGGCTTTAACATGCACTTACACAAAAAATAACTCCCTTCATAATTTCTAATAATAAATACATATTCACTATTCTGCTTTATGTGTTCTCATCAGAACAAAGCTTTATTAAACTAGGAATTTTTTCAAGAATATGTTTTAAGAAATTGATTGTTAATAAAATTTAATAAATCCTTATTAAGCATCTCATTTCTATTATTTTTCCAATTTTCAGTTTTCCCAACTTTGATAGTGCATATACACTGAAAAACCTAAAAAAGCCTAAAAAAAAACGGAGATAACATTTTAATTTTAAAAGCTAATAATGTGTTACAGACTTCTGTTCAAATATATTCTTTTCTTACAAGTATTCCTAAGATAAGATATTTTTTAAATCAGTCACTGCTAATCTCATAGTTTTTACTTTCAATTTTGTTTTCTAAAAATTTGTGCTTATAATTGAAACTCATAACCACTGTTTGCATTACAGAATAAAAGTTTAACATGTATATTGGTTGTTCAATGTTTCTATACTACTTTATCTAGATATGGGAGGAGCCTGATGATGCAGTGGTTAAGCACTTGGGTGCTAACTGAAACATGAGCAGTTCAAACCCCTCAGCTGCTCCTCAGGAGAAAGATGTTGCAGTCTCCTTCAGTCTTGTAAACAGTTCTATTCTATCATACAGGGTCACTATGAGTCAAAAATGACTCAATGGTAGTAGGTTTGGTTTTGGTTTTGATTTAGATATATTTTATTTATAACTGTACCAGTTTTTTACAGTAAATTTTGCCTTGACAGTCTTATAAGCATAAGTGATCAAAGCAGGTATAGAGTTCACACAGTATGGGTTATGTGCTACTACAGTTTTTACCCTAGTGCCTTATCTAGCCACGATTGAAAAATGTAGTATCTCAGATCATCAGAATTCCATTTAACGGTTTAACAGCATTTATAACGTAATATAGTATACTGAATACACTAAATGTAATTCAACTTTCTTAAGACTCAAAGAAAGTCACTGTTGTGATCACTGCCACATTGCACCATAATACAGCGTTACCTTTAGGGTTCTCAGAAAATGGTCTTAGTTTTGCTTTGCCTCATTTCTCCTCAAACACTAGAGTACTAGCTTGGAGTAACAGAGGAAGTAAGCTAGAAAGACTAATTACCTCAAACTATTCCTTGTTCCTTTCCCTCACTTCTGTTTCTGTTCTCTTTCATTTATTGCTACTGTCAATGAAATTGATTTCCATTATTTATATCTACTTCTAACTGTTACAGTTAAGTTTTCTGTCTGCTTTTTCCTTTCTTTCTTTCTCTTACTTGCCTTGCTTCCTCTTCAGTCTAGACTTTAGAGCCAGTTGGGGTCGATTTGAGAACTATCGTCAGTCAACAAGGCTAGTACATTAGCTAATCATAGCATAGTGGCTAAGACACTTGCCTGGTAACCAGACGGCTGGCGGTTCAAACCCACCAGCCACTCCTCAGAAGGAAGGTTTGGCAATCCTACTTCCGTAGTGGTACTGCCTCGGAAACCCAAGGAGGGGTCGCTATGAGTCGGGTTTGACTCGACGGCACATAACAACAACAACAACATTACATTATCTCTGAAATCTTGGCTCATTTAAGAATTGCTGCTATTTAGCAAATACTGTGGCAATTTCCTAAGTATTTGAACCTAAAAACTCTTGAATAACTAGTAAATGTGCTTCAGCATGGATAACTACTGGCACAAAAGATACAATGTAAAATCTTTTTCTATTTCTTCTAAATTGTATTTATTTTGTTGCTGCTGTTGTGAATAGACATAGCAAATCATACACCAATTCTTTCAATCATACATCAATACTTTCTATATATACAATTTAGTGACACCGATTACATTCTTCAGGTTGTACAAACATTCTGATCCTCTTTTTTTCTGAGTTTCTCCTCCCCTATTAATATAAACTTAATGCTCCCTAAGGTTCTTTTATAATCTTCGAGTTGCTATTGTCACTTTGATCCCATATAAATAGTTCTCAAAAGAGCATAACACACAGGGCAGATTTTTTTTCACTAGTTAAGGTAACTATTCTTCGGTTTTAGGAGCTCTGGTGGCGCAGTGCCTAAGGCATCTGACTGCTAACCAGAAGGCTAGCAGTTCAAACACCAACAGCTGCTCCTCAGAAGGAAGACTGGGCAATCTACTTCCGTAGAGATACCGCCTTGGAAACCCAAGAAGGGGTCGCTGAGTTGAATCTGACTCGATGACAGTGAGTTTGCTTTTTGGTTTTTCAGGGGATATTTTTGGTTTAAGGTTTAAAGATTATCTCAGGCGATAGTTTCAGGGGTTCATTCATCCTCCATGGCTCCAGAAAATCTACAGTCTATGAGAATCTTAAATTCTGTTCCACATTCTCCACCTTTTGATCAGGATTATTCAATTGTATCTTTGATCAAAATGTTCAGTAATGTTAGCAAAGGAAGTATTGTTCATGGAGATAATTAGGCACACATTCCACATCCTCCTCCTATTCCTGACTCTTCTTATTCCTCTGTTGCTCCAGGTGAAGACAGACCAATTGCTGTGCCTTGGATGGCCATTTGTCAGCTTTTAAGACCACAGGCACTACACAACAAACTGTTGTTGTTGTTATTGTTAGATGCCATTAAGCACAAAAAACTAGGAGGTAGAAAAGAAGCACTAAACACGTTAACAGACCAATTAACTCAGATGTTCCATGAAACCATGACCCCAAACCACCAAACTAAAAAACCAAATTCCATGTGTTTGATTAAATTCGTGTTTGGTTGTACATACGCAGCCTCGGCAGCTACTCTTTTTTCCCCTCATTGTTGTAAATATTATGTATCATACCACTTTTGCCAATTCAGCTTTTTCCCAGTGTTCAACTTATTGACAGCAATTACAAAAATTGGCTGTGCAACTCTATTCTTAATGTGATTTTTTTCATCACTGTTAATCACTCTTTTTCTCCTTTCTCTACCCTTGGTAATCATTGATAAAACTTGGTCTCTATATATTTGTTTTTTCTTGTTTTTTTTATATAAGTGACATCATACACTATTTACCCTTTTGGGACTGACTTATTTCACTCAGCATAATATTTTCAAGCTTTATCCATACTGTAGCATGTACCAAGACTTCCTATTGGCTGAGTAGTATTCCATTGTATGTATTTACTACATTTTCCTTATCCATTCATCTGCTGATGGGCATTTAGGTTGTTTTCATGTTTTGGCTACAGTAAATAGTGCTGCAATGTGCACTGGTGTCTTTTTTTTGAGTTTCTGTTGGCAAGTCTTTTGTGTATATACCTAGAAGTGGAATTGCTGGGTGATATGTTAGTGCTATTCTTTTTAGCTTTTTAAGGAATCACCACATTGCTTTCCAAAACAGCTGTACCATTTTGCATGTCTATCAGTAATGGATAAGGGTTCCAATATCCCTACATCCTCATCAACATTTGCTACTTTTTATTTCAAAGGTTATCTATCCTAGTGGGAATGAAATGGTATCTCATTGAGGTTTTTATTTGCATCTCTCTGATGGCTAATGATGTGAGTATCTTTTCATATGTTTGCTGGCCATGTGAATGTCCTCTTTGGTGAAATGTCTATTCAAGTCCTTGGTCTATTTTATGACTAGGTTATTTGTTTTTCTGTTG